AATACTACATGATACATTCTTCGGCACTAGAAATAAAACACCACTCTTAACGGTGCTTAAGGTTACTTATTGTGGTTATTTCAGATTTGTTATATATTTAATAGGTTAGTGGGATAATTTCTCCCATCGCATACCAAAAATATGGGATAAATCCTATATTGACATCAATTAGTGGGATATTTTGTCCTGTGGGAAAAATAATCCCATTTTTGCAACAACCGTGGGATTTTTTTTCCCATGTGGGAGAAATTATCCCACAGTACTTTTTCTCCCATGGGATTTTGGTGGGATTTTTGGTGGGATGAAAAATCCCGCCATTCTCCCATGGGATTTTAGGTTTTCACAGAGGTTTATGAGAAAACTACTACAATGTGGAAGTTGAGATTGACATGATGAGGTCAGAATAAAAAATCCCACCAAAATACAGAAAAAAATCTAATGTAGGTCTTTTCGAAAGGGTACCTAAAGTCCGGACTTTGTCGTGTCCGGACTTAAATGTCAATGAAATATATAACCATTCATAGCGAAGTTTCAATTTACTAGTATTCAAATCTTACCGCAACCCCCCCCCCCCCCCTTTGTTGGAGTAGGTCTGGACAATAAAGTGCTCGGGTGATTGATCTGGCCCATGGGCTTCCTGTAATTAATCAAGTGAAACGTACGACCATTCAAGGGATTTTATAAGTTTAATAACTTCTGAATACTTTGCATCGCTATTTTTACGACGTTTACCACATTTTCAGCTGCTGATATTCCGTCCAGCTATGATGCAGATTTCCATGGTGCAGTGATGGAAGGAAGATACATGGAATCCAGTAGCTTTATAAACCTTCAGTGTGACATTGAGGCTATCATCTCTAACATAACACAGTGTCCGACTGAAAATGCTACTAAAATAGAAATACCAAGTAAGTTGATACGACAAATTTACATGGAAACCTTCAACCCATTCAACATACTTATAATGAAAAAAATGGTTAACTTGTAACAACTTAAGACAGAACTATTAAATATGAAATATTTACATGTTTTAGATTGCAAACTGGATATATTATTCATGCTGGAAGCATCAAGTTCTTCTGCTGGCTCCAATTTTGTTTACCTAAAAAGCTTTTTTGCTAACATAGCCCGTCAACTTAATGTAGCATCAGACTCTATCCGTATTGGTGCCATGACATACGACTATAAAGGATACAAGCAGTTTGACCTTGATACATACACAACCGCTGATGAAGTAAGTAATGCCATTATGAGGATACAAGAAGGTGTAAACCCAATTAACCTCGTAGACAGAGCATTGGCCTATGCACGGACCGTTTACTTCACGGAGGACAATGGCGATCGTGCTGATGCCGCAAATTATTACGTTTTCTCAGTTGACGGAATAAGAGCTGGTGCATCGCTACAAGGAGCAGTCATAACAGCAGATTGGCCCAACCAGATATATTCAATCGGTAAAAGAGAGTCACTGCTACATGCGTTTTTTATACTAATTAAGTGCCGTTTTGCATACTGATAACTTTATCTCTCTCATAGTGATCATGAACATATATATGATATCATTCTGAGTTTGATAAATGCACTTGAATTCAATAAATGCACAAGATAACTATATACGTTTTTTTTCTTTAAGACATTAACAGCAGTTTTTCCAAGGAATATAAGAAAACAGCTGATGACATTAACCGTTACTTCTTCGCCTCCTCCTACGAAGATTTACCTTCCATCGAAGCCTCAGTTGTTGAGGCTCTTAGCAAGTGTCCAACTCCAAAAATTGTCACAACTACTGGGGTATCTTTGAAAAATAAAGGGGTCGGTAAGCGAAACTATTCATAAGAATAAAAATCAATATCCCTATAAATATGCTATAATTCCTACATTATTATGACAGTAGTAATAGAAATCTAATTTTACTCAAGTCAACACCCATAAAAAATAAATATTTTTCAGCAGTTTTTAGCTCACCTGAGCCGAAGGCTCAAGTGAGCTTTTCTGATCACATTTTGTCCGGCGTCCGTCTGTCTGTCTGTAAACTTTTCACATTTTCGACTTCTTCTCAAGAACCCCTGGGCCAATTTCAACCAAACTTGCCACAAAGTATCCATGGGTAAAGGGGATTCAAGTTTGTTCAAATGAACTCAAATTGTTCAAATGAACACGCCCTCACTCAAGGGGAGATAATTGGGAATAAATTAAAATTTAGTGGCATATTTTAAAAATCTTCTCAAGAACTACTGTGCCAGGAAAGATGAAACTTATGGGGAAACATCCTCAGGTAGTGTAGATTGAAGTTTGTTCAAATCATGACCCCCCGGGGTAGGGCGGGGCCAAAATGGCCGACCAAAGTTTTACATAGAAATATATAGGAAAATTCTTTAAAAATCTTCTTCCCAAGAATGACAAAGCCATAATTCATCATATTTATATGGAAGCATGTTCAGGTAGTGTAGATTCAACTTTGTTCAAATCATGACACCGGGGGTAGGGCGGGGCCAAAATGGCCGACCAAAATGGCCGACCAAAGTTTTCCATAGAAATATATAGGAAAATTCTTTAAAAATCTTCTTCTCAAGAATGACAAAGCCATAATTCATCATATTTATATGGTTATATGCTCAGGTAGTGTAAATTCAAGTTTATTCAAATTCAAATTTATATGGGAGCATGCTCAGGTAGTGTAGATTAAAATTTGTGCAACTCATGACCCCCCGGGGTAGGGCGGGGCCAAAATGGCCGACCAAAGTTTTACATAGAAATATATAGGAAAATTCTTTAAAAAACTTCTTCTCAAAAATAGCAAAGCCATAATTGATCATATTTATATGGAAGCATCCTCAGGTAGTGTAGATTCAAGTTTGTTCAAATCATGACCCCCGGGGTAGGGCAGGGCCAAAATGGCCGACCAAAGTTTTACATAGAAATATATAGGAAAATTCTTTAAAAGTATTCTTCTCAAGAATAGCAAAGCCATGATTGGTCTTGGGACTTGTTTTGGATTTAGGCTTTTCGAGTATAAACCATGGCCAATTCTGCTTTTTCCTAGCCACAGTGCTCAGGTGAGCGATGTGGCCCATGGGCCTCTTGTTAAATAATGGTTGAAGAAAAGTAATATATATATATATATATATATATATATATATATATATATATATATATATATATATATATATATATTCCTCATTTTCTAGTTGCTCCATGTCTAAACAGCTTAATTTATCTTTACCCCGAGGATCTAACGGCATACACAAGCGGATCTAGAGGTACTTATTACCAAACATTCCTGTTTTCAATTCTGTTTGGAAAACTTTCTCTTTTTATACTAAGCTTATTTTTGATTTCTTACATCTTACTTTTAGGAATGATGTACCTGATGACGGATTTTGTATTCCGAATAACATCTTGCTCACGCATTACGTCGTGGGAGTTTTCCTATTCGAGGTCTGGATGGATAGATTTTATGGTGTGGAGACCTTCTGGCAATAACTATAAGCTGGTAGCTTTCAACACACTTTATGTTGAAGGTATTAATTTCATCAAGTTCTGAAAAATAAAAGAAAATGTTTTTGCTTGTAAATCAAATTATATTTTTAAGTTGAACAGAGCAATATTTAGGATTTTCAATGAATGATATTGGTTTTTATTTATACAAAATTTTATTCACATAAGTGAATAGGAACCTTATATTGGTTTCTCTAGAAAAGAAAAAAATATCATACATATGCTTAAATGTCTCCTTTGTTTTAAAGGTGTCAATACGACTACCTACACAGTTGTAGAATATGAAAGGATTGCTGTTCTAGACGGTGACTTAATTGGGTGGTAAGATCCATTCATCCTTTGGATTTTTTCAATTATTATTTTGATTATTTTGGTTTTACTGTGTAAACTAGATATTTTTTACTCATAAAGTGAAAAATATGTTAAGTCAGGGTTTGAAGTGCTTTGGAAAGTAATTTCATTTTTTATGTACATTTATTTAAGTATGTCGACATTTTCCCATATGTTTTTATGCTACAGGGAGGACAAGATTGCATAGAGGCCAAACACCTTTGCCTCTTTCTTAACACTTTTATTTCAATTTTAAATAGAGTTGAGGTTTTTTTTCTTGAATTCTTGGATATCTGGGTTAAATCTAATACGAGTTAACTAGGCTTGACTGCATTATCTTTATCACGATAACGAGGCTTAACTGTATTATACAAACCCTTTTTTGATGTTTTACTTAATTTATTGATAAATGTGTATTTATAGGCGCTCTCTGGCAGACAATGATGATGGCAATATAATCACAAATGGAAATTGTATAGGACCTTGTGCTGAGGGGTTAAAAGCGTACTCTGCTAGAAATTTAATCAGAGGGGATTTGTTCGACTGGAAAACCCAGGGAACTGTAGTCAATACCACCGCTTATGCTATTAAAGCTTGCCTTGAGGAAAGTAAGATCACATACGTTTTCAAAATGATAAAAATCTGTTCATCATCTCTTCCAATGGCAAAGAACTGAGCGTTAAATGAAATTACGACTATTTCTTGTGTGTTATTTAATTAATAAAATTTTCTAAATAAATATGCAACGTTGTTACACGAATCTTTCAATTTCTTATTCGGAGGTACCATATATTGGATTTTCATTTGCTTTTAAAATTTATATTGAGGGTTATAATGGCTTTTTTTCAAAATGAAATTTTAAAAATCTGAAGGAAAAATTTGAAAAATGCACATGAATTATAGAGAGTATTAGTACTGGTATTTAGTAGGATTTAAACTGTCTATTATATTTATGAAAGTAGGTGCACAAGATCTCAAGTTTATAAAGATCAAAAGTTTGAAATGAAATAAAAATTCTTTTTCTCGTTGGAAAAGTATACAAGAAGATAAAGGCTAATCACTTAATAGCCCAATAAAGTTAAAGCCATTTTAATTTAAAAAATAAGATGAGTTAATTATCTTACCTTTACTATTATCAATTATATTATATATTTTCATCATGAATTTTCCTTATTCTCATTTTTTAAGAAAGTAAAGAACACAATCAATTTATTAATTCGATTTTGGTAAGGGTCTAATGTAGTGATGATTCCACGTAGATAAGACGTTTTCATTAATTTTGAAATACTTTAATTAGTTTTGGTTAAAAGAAAAATGAAATACAAAGATTCTATTTTTTTTAAAAATGTGTTCGAAATGTGAAATATTTCAAGTATTCGGAACTACGATTTGAGGGTTAAACGTTGTGTTTATTTCAAAATGTAAAATTTTTCAGATACACCAATGTCTTTTAACAACCAAAATCAATCGGCTGAGATCCCTGACCATTTAGCAGTTGGTGACTTTGTGATGATGTTAGAGGTTGAAGGGGTAGACTACGCCGAGGATGTTACCTTCACCGTAATGGAGCACCCCAGTCCTGCATTTAATTACTCCCCTCAATACTTTGTCGTGGACGGAATAGGTATATGTTAGGCATGCGTTTTTAGCATAAGTATTATATTCAAAAACATGTCCGACAATTGGTAGTGTCCAAATAAGATTGAAGTATTTGCAAAGTGTCACTAACCAATTAAAAAAAATGGCATGTGTAAAGAAATTCGGCATATTTAATGCATTTTTAAAGGACAAGTAAAGATCGCAAAAAAGATGCAGAGAGCTACAGTTCTAAAGGACTACCTAGTGCGTGTAGCAGCAAGGGATTCGTGTAATACCAGTGCCACAGTGACAGTTTCTGTTGAATCACAAAATATGGTAATTTTTGTTTCTACCCTGTAAAATTCAATATGTTTTCAGACTATTGCATTAAACCTTTACTTTTTCGAAAAATTCAAGTTAACTTCTCAATTGCACGATTTTCAATAAAGGCTAAAAGTATCACTTAGACCCATACTCTGGGAATAAGTTTCTTTCTCGTCACAACTGTAGTATATTTCGTTCTCTTTATGAGGAGGTTGAATAGAAGATACATTGGGTCATTGTTTGGCTGACTTGTTTCATAAACATTGATAGGCTTTAGTTTTATACTTAATTAGATTAGGCATTTTCATTTTTAAATTAATGAAAAAAAAATAGAACTGTCGACTTGAGATAAAAACTTTATGTTTCATCGTGAAAAATGATAAATATGCCAATTGTGTGCCTTTTCCTTCCGCAAAGCAATATTCTCTAAGCATCGACATTTCTAAAAAGCGATCATTATTCTTACTTAAAGATCGACAAACTCGTCATTTCTTGAAGAAGATATTCAGAAAAATTGTATTTGCAGGGTGGGGGTCTTATTGCCGAATTAAAATTTGCTTACCGGTAATACGTCTCTGTATTTTCTCATAATTATACCCCCGCTCCGAAGGAGAGGGGGGTATACTGTTTTACCCTTGTGTGTCTGTCCGTGTGTCCGTGTGTCTGTGTGTCCGTGTGTCTGTGTGTCCGTCCGAAACAAATTTTCGTCACAGTTTTCTCAGCAACTACTCATCGTAGATGCTGAAATTTTAACACAATCTTCTCTGAGGCATGCCATATGGTGGGATACATTTTCGCTTAAATCCGATATCAACTTCCTGTTTGTCTGTGCGTCTGTCCTTTTCATACATCACAAATTTTCGTCGCAGTTTTCTCAGCAACTACTCATTGTAGATGCTTGAAATTTTAACACAATCTTCTCTGAGGCATGCCATATGGTGGGATACATTTTCGCTCAAATCTGATGTCAACTTCCTGTTTGTCTGTGCGTCTGTCCGTTTCATACATATCAAATTTTCGTCACATCAGCAACCAATCGTAGATGCTTGAAATTCTAACACAATTTTCTCTGAGGCATGCCATATGGTGGGATACATTTTCACTTAAATCCGATGTCAACTTCCTGTTTGTCTGTGCATCTGTCTGTTTCATACATTAGAAATTTTCGTCACAGTTTTCTCTGCAACTTCTCGTTGCAGATGCTTGAAATTTTAACAAAATCTTTTTTGAGGTATGCCATATCTTGGGATACATTCTTTTCAAATTCGATATCAACTTCCTATTTGTCTGTGCATCTGTCTGTTTTACACATAACAAATTTTCGTCACAGTTTTCTCATTAGCTATTCATAGCGGTAGCTTGAAATTTTATTACACCCTTTGTTGAGGCATGCCATATGGTGGGATTAATTTTGATATGAATCTAATGTCAACTTCATATATCTGCCTGTAATTGAACTTGCGTATATATATTAACAAAATTTACATCAGAGCGGGGGTATTACTAGTGAGCATTCGCTCACAGATTTCTTGTTAAATTTAAATGTACTATAACAGTTCCGTTATGGCTGATTTTTGCAAATGGGAAGGATATGCAATGTTTCTTGGTGTAACTACATGTATATTAATAACATCTATTTAATGTAAAATGTTCTTTAAATCTCTCTTGTCAGATCAGAAATCTACCTTAATTACTTTTATGTGATGTTTTTCAGAAATGTTGGTCTTATCCATGGCTGTTGCTGAGCAGACAGGCGGCGAACAAGTTTTATACTCCACGATTGTTGAGGATCCCTTCCAGTTTGCTGCTATTAGAGAGTGTTTCTCCTCCTTCGCTGAATTTCAATGTTACAGGGAACTCGACGGCAGGCGCTTTGTCTTTTCCATTCTAACCAGCGCAAATCCCGCCTTTTCTTACAAGGACATAAACTCTTATATGGTGAAACTCTGCTGTATGACAGTGCTGATAAAACTACAGGAATATTGCTTGTTAATGTCAAAAAGCCCTCCGGTTATACACCTCCAGGTATGTGTGACGTTTAATATAAATGAATATTTATAAGAATTTAATCTAACTCATAATCAGTACATGTTCTTGCCCCGTGTTCTTTGAACAAAAGATTATCTTATTCTATTGCTCATTGCATTACGTTTTTATTTTCAGATTGGTTTATAAAACTGTATTCCAAAGATTTATGGCTTGCCTTGTGCTAATTCACTCAATGTTTGTAATAGGATAGAGCAAAAAATTTATCATTTATTGTATCCTGAAACATTTGTTACAGCATCTGAAATTGGTAAAACTGTGAAAGTTATCCCACGTTTTATTAATGACATGTATTTTAATATTTTTGCTTGATTTATCTGTCTTTCCTGTAAGAACATCAATATTGTTTTCCTTCATCCATTCAATATTATAATTTTAAATTTAAAACATGTTTTTCTGTGGTTAATTCTTTATTTTTCTGCATTTTATCATCTTTCCAAAAGACCAAATACGCTTCTGAGATATGTCTTGTTATACTTCATTAACGGCTGATTTTTACGATTTTTCAATATTTTTGTTAACGCTTTAAACTAAACAGTATATAAAAACGAACATCATTATGTATGGTAACAATTTAAATTACAGAAACCTTTGAAGGTCATGCATATGATAAAGTCGCCCTTATTTATATATATTTTAAAAAAATATAACTTGATTCATTCAAAATAAAAACCATAATTAATAACCTTTTCTGTCTAGTTTGTTGGATAAATTTGTGGAATTTTTTTTTAATTCAGTTTTAGTTGCTCCCAGACGATCTGTGAAATGTCAAAGTACTTTAATAGAAATATATATTATTTATAAGTTACATATGAAATTTGGCATTAGAAAATTACTTTAATTTTATCTGACTTCGGGGGATCCTGTAAATCTAGCAAGTGACGTTGTGTGACCATACTTTTAAATATGAATTCATTAAATTTTGTTAATTTTGTTAAATATCATTATTAAATTTTGGAATATCTATCAGAATATTAATTTGAAAACTTTATTATCTGCTTGTTGATTTCTTTCATAAAAACCTGGGGGTCGTAACATAAAGGATACTTAAGTCTAAGACCGTACTTAAGTAGGACTTAAGTACAGGCTAAAACTTAAGACCGTAACTAGAAGCGTGCTAAGATTTGGCAATCTTAGCAAAACTTAGGCAGTCGGTAGAGGTGACTTAAGTATATCTTAACTTTCTTGTACATATATTTAGAATTATTTAATGTAGACTTTCGATGTTAAAACATTTCTCTATTCATAATATATATTAAAGAAAATAATTATCTCTATTTGACGCTGCATGATTTAAGAATTTTATTTTTTCGTGGGGAAGGGGGGCTAATCACTGATTCCAATATCACTCCCAACATAGCATACAGTCATGTAAATAAATAAAAATAATTTTAGGGATCACTCCCTACACAGCATTCATGTAAATACAAAATTTAATTTTAGGGATACGTCTGAAATGAGTGGGGTCTCGGTTATAGAAATAAATTGAAGACAGTAATAAACCATGGATCTGTATGTTCACTTTGAAAATATGAGTTGAAATAATTTGTTATTAACAGAAAAGAAAGAGGGTGATGACAGTAACAGTAATATTATAAAAAGTATCTGTAAAGTATAAAATAAATGTAGAACGCGAGAAGTGCGGATTTAGACAGGGCTCACTACAGTTCGAGAGAGAGAGAGAAAATTGCTGTTAAGTGGAGACATGTGAAAAAAAAATCCCTATTTTTTTTTGTATCCTTGATTAAATTGCAAATGAGTATATCATAAAACGTCTGCAGTTTTTGCTTCTGACATGCATGGCCTGATAATACATAGCAGAAATTCAACATGTAATGAACTTTTTAGAGTTTCAATTTTAAGTAGATAAAGGGTGATTATCTTTTCTTGTCTGCGATAATAACAGGGTAAGTGAACATTTGTCAAAACAAAAAGAGTTACAAAAGGTAAACTGAAAACATCTCATGTGATAAAACAATTGTCGTACATTTACAATGAATCACAAATCGACACTTTCTGACCTTGCGGTATTTGTTTCCAAACATTCCGAACAATTCATAACATAATTATAATTTTAATACGAAATCTAATCTAAAATAACTTAAACCGATAGGCAAGGACGTCAACATTAATATGTAATTAATTAAAACCCTAACTGAATAACTTTTAGCAATATATCTATATAAAATCAAAATCCATTGGTTGACTCATATGAAATATTTTTAACATAAATTTGACTTAGCTAAGACCTCGCTTAGTTCGCTTTATGTTACGGTTTAAGACATACTTAAGTAGTACTTAGACAGGTCCTAAGATTGTGCCTAAAACGTACTTACGACCCTACTTAAGTCAAAAACTTAGCAAGCTTTATGTTACGAGCCCCTGGTTTACTCATATTTTGCTACTAAAAATTATAAGACCACTCTTGGCCGCGACCAGGGGGTCGTGACATAAAGGCTACTTAAGTTTAAGGCCGTGCTTAAGTAGGACTTAAGTACAGTCTAAAACTTCAGACCGTAACTAGAGGCGTGCTAAGATTTGGCAATCTTAGCAACACTTAGGCGATCGGAAAAGGTGACTTAAGTATATCTTAACTTTCTTATACATCTATTCAAAACTATTTTGTGCTGACTTTCTATGTTAAAGCATTCCTCTATTCATTATATGCATTAAAGAAAATAATAATTCCTATTAAATACTATTATGAGAATTTTTTGCGTCGGGGTGGGGGGGGGGGGGGGTACTGATCAATGATTCCACTATTACTCTAAAGACATCGTACATGAAAATGCAAAATTTAATTTGGGGGATACCTCTGAAATTAGTGGGACCTACCTAGAAGTTTTTTTTTAAGTTGCAAGAACTTGTAACCAATCCCATTGTATAAATTATACAATAAAATATGTTCAAAACAAAAAAATCAAAACCTACCTAGATCGATATAAACACTAATCCACTAATCAAATTGAACACGTACAGTAATAGTCTTATTTATGGATCTGTATGTTGACTTTGAAAATATGAGATGACAAAGATTTTTAAACATAGAAAAATGTTGGGGAGTAAGGGGATGATGACCAAAAAAAAACTAATAAAGAGCGTCTGTAAATTAAAATAAATGTAGAATGCAAGCGCATATTTCGACAGGGTTTCCTAGAGTTCGATCGATTGATCAAGAGACAGATCTAGGTGGGTGAGAGAGAGAGAGAGAGAGAGAGAGAGAGAGGGGGGTAAATGGAAAAAAGATATCCTGAAAGAATTTCCACTCTTGATGTAATTGTAAATAATTATAACTACTCCAATCTTTGCTTGCTGACATGGACTGAGACACATCTGGGGGGGGGGGGGGGGGATTAAAAATTTTTTGCAATTTTTTAGAGTTTTAATTTAAAGTAGACAGACGTTCGGTTATTTTGTCATGTCTACGAGAATAACAAAGCAAGTGAACATTTGTCAAAACAAAAGAACAATAAACGGTAACTGAAAACATCGCAGCTTCGGGGGATAAACAATAGTCATACATTTACAATGAACCACAGATCACCGTTTTGTGACCGCTCAGTATTTTTTCTGAATCAAATATGCAGTGTATTTAAAGCAAATTAAATTATATCTTTAATACAAAATCTAATCTTACATAACTAAAACGATAGGTAAGGACGTTAACCTTTATAGATATTTAATTAAAACGTACCCGAATCATTTTGTAGCAATATATCTGAATAAAATGAAAAAATATATGGTGATTCATAAGAAATATTTTGAACATAAGTTTGACTTAGCTAAGACATTCCTAAGTTCGCTTTATGGTACGGTTTAAGACATACTTAAGTAGTACTTAGGCAGGTCCTAAGATTGTGCCTAAAACGTACTTATGACCATACTTAAGTCAAAAACTTTGCAAGCTTTATGTTACGAGCCCCAGGCTTATACTAGTAAATACCATTTTAGAAATTAATGAAAATTTTATCCTATTTCACGAACTCGTAACGGCGAATTTCGGGGGTCCTGTAAATCTGTTGCCCAAGTGTCAACCCAAACTTCCTGTCGGGAACTACCATATTTGTGATGTTAGCATACAGATCTTCTATCCAAGAGAGCACTAAGGAATCTCCGTGTTTTATGATGTTCTGTCGTGAACCCCTTTTACCAGTTGACTTGTATGGAAAATACCAAGACCACAAAATAGCGTCCGATGATGTTCAAGACCTTAAATTGTAACAAAATGATGGAATGTGCATGATTGTGCTCGTAAGAATCAGGGTTCTCCATGAGCTGTTTTACTGTGTTGCTCCCTACACAGTAAAATTTTCTCCGAAACAGTAACGATTCATATTTCATGCATGCGACACAATAAAAATTTTGCCGACACAGTAAGATGTTTTTATTAGAAAATCTAAACACAAATTCTCTCCAACTGAAACTTGAATCAAAAAATTCTACCGTCTTTCAATTCAAAAAGTTATAGCATTTAATATCTAGGGCTTCACCTTGAGTAATAAATCAATTATCTCCTACACCCTCGCCAGTGTTTACGCATGACGGAAGAAAGACAAATTGTTTTCACAATTCAATCACAGGAGTTTGCGTACCTATCAATTATACCGAAATTTTCATTAAATAAAAAATACGTAATACGTATAATAAAAACACAAGGAGTGCAACGCATTTTAGGTCACCTGGGAACCCCTCGCTTAATATCAAGGCTGTCGCACAATTAATCTTCAATCGAAAATTATAAAACACAAACCAATCTTTTTGGAAGGGACCATTCTTTATGGCTCTTAATGCATATGATTTCAAACGCATGTTTTGCAGCAGCAGCGGTGACATTTCTCCACAACTTCGCTCAAATATCCGTTGTCCGCGACGCCATGACGTGATGTCACGGGCGCATCCATTTACCCAAAAAGGAACAAAACTGCCTGAAATGCTAATCTAGATGATTGAGGTCATATACGAAAAGAAACCAGAGACAAGTTAGTAGACATTCAAGAAAATTTAAAACGGGGAGGTACAAGTACTTGTACTCGTATCTAAACGTAATACCGTTAGCTCTACTTAACTGTGTATGATTGGGTTTTTTTTGTTCCTTTCGGGTAAATGGACCGCCCGTGACGTCACGCCATGGCGTTGCGGAAAACGGTTGCACTCCTTGTGTTATTAT